TCAGAGAGGAAGGGAGAGGTAGAGAGATAGAAACATCAATGATGAGAGAGAATCATCGATTGGCTGCCTCCTGCACATCCCCTATTGGGGATCGAGCCAGTAACTCTGGCACCTACCCTAACCAGGAATCGAACCGTGACCTCTTGGTTCATAGGTCAATGCTCAACCACTGAGCCACACAGCCAAGCAGGTTTCAGCCTGTTAAATATTCACCTGTCTTTCCTCCTTCCCCCACCTCTCTCACAAATCCTTTGGTCAACTTTCATGGAACATGCTGTTGACAACACTCTAGTTCTGGGTGCCGGAGAAGGGAACATAGCCGCTGGTCCTGGGTTGAGTCGCTCTCCGTGTGGGACAGGAGGGAGTCTGAGGTCCCTAAAACCATATGCTTTATGTGTTGACTCATTTCATCCTTGCTACAACCTGGGGCCCAGGCCCTGAGTAAACACATTTAATAAATGGGCAAGTGAGGTCAGAGAGGTCAGAGGACAGATTCAGTGTCTAGCACCTTGGCTAGGATGTGAATCCAAGACATATGACTTCAGGTGTTCCATTCTCTCAGCACTTCCTGACGATCTTCCTGTACACCCAAGAGGCCTCAGTCCTGGTCCCCAAGAAGACCCCAGCTTGCAGGAAGAAGAGCTGGCCACAGGGGCACCCAGCCTGTGAAGTCAGGGTTGGGCTAGAGCAGGGGTGGGCAAACTTTTTGACTCGAGGGCCACAATGGGTTCTTAAACTGGACCGGAGGGCCGGAACAAAAGCGTGGATGGAGTGTTTGTGTGAACTAATATAAATTCAAAGTAAACATCATTACATAAAAGGGTACGGTCTTTTTTTTTTTTAGTTTTATTCATTTCAAACGGGCCGGATCCGGCCCGTGGGCCGTAGTTTGCCCACGGCTGGGCTAGAGAGTGGGTCCTGAAGCTGGAGGAATGGGGAGGAGGGGAGTGGCGGCCTCTCTGGGGAGAGAAGGAAGGTATCCTAAAAAAGGGATGTTGGGGTTGGGCTTTCGAAGGGTACACGGTAGTTCGGTAGGCATATAATGCATTCATTAACTTGACAAACACCTCCCAACCAAATTCTCTGTGCCAACCTCACTCCAACCTGGTCCCTAGGAGGACCAGACACAGACTCTCCAAGGGGCCATGGATGGGATGGAAGGAAAGGTAAGGGGCTGGAGAGCTCCTGGTTGGAGGAACAGGGGGGATCTTCAGGGAACCAGAAGGAGGTCTCCTGGGAGGAGCAGGTGGCTTCAATTTGCTATTCCAGAGCAGAAAGTGCTGATGTTGAGTGTTTTTGCTTTGAAATGCACTGCTTGGGTTAAATGAGGCCAAGATGTCACTGTCCTGTCATTGACCTGTTCCACGCCTCCTCCCAGCAGTGGAGCCTCCGTTTCCGCAGGTGAGATATACGGGAGGAAAAACTGGGTGGTGTGGTGATAGAGAACTTCAATTTGTTGCCTGTGGATGGAGGTCCTTGCAATTGAAATAAACAGGGACCCGGGAATGTAAGAGGGGTGTCCCAACCAGATCTGGAGGGATCTAGGACTTTCCAGGGAAAGCAGCACTTGAGTCAGACCTGAGGGAGGAGGGGGAATTGTGTACGGTGCAAGGATGAGCATCTGGAAAAGCACAAGGCAGACCCTGGATTTGAACCCAGATGCTCTCCGTGTTAGAGGTTGAGCTCTTAAACATCTCACTCTTAAGGGCGGAGGGAGAGGCCTGGCCCGGGTGGGCACCCGCTTGCAATCAGTTCATTCTGTAAAGTCGTCAGGATGTGGTGCGAGGGGTGAGTGGAGCGAGGCTATATTTGTTTCTTTAAAATGCAGTTTTTGCCCTAACCGGTTTGGCTCAGTGGGTAGAGCGTCGGCCTGAGGATGCAAGGGTCCCAGGTTCCATTCCGGTCAAGGGCAAGTACCTTGCTTGCGGGCACATCCCCAGTGGGGCGTGTGCAGGAGGCTGCTGATCGATGTCTCTCTCTCATCAATATTTCTAACTCTCTATCCCTCTCCCTTCCTCTCTGTAAAAAATCAATAAAATGTAAAATAAATAAATAAATAAAATAAAATGCAGTCCTCTTCGGAGGCCCTCAGCCCCTCCCGTACTCCCCCAAATAGTGCAAAGATATCCACAGAAACGGCGATTCCCTGCCCTCTTCCCCCACTGGCTCAGGGGCCCGTCAAGCTCCACCCACCGGGGAGGATAGAGTACTCCCCCAAATAGTGCAAAGACATCCACAGAAAGGGCGATTCCCTCCCCTCTTCCCCCACTGGCTCAGGGTCCCGTCAAGCTCCACCCACGGGGGAGGATAGGACGGACAAGAGCACTGTGGACGCCCAATAGGCTCAGGACACAAGTCCCGCCCCTTTTTCTTCTTTAGGCCACGCCCCAACCCCGCCTATGGGCCGCGCGTGGGCAGGGAGGTGGCAGGCTAGAGCGGTTTCTGTCCTTGGGGGCTGCATCGGACCATTAGGTGGTGCCACGAGCCACCATTGAGCACCTCATTCTCAGAAATGACGCGCGTCCCTTCCCTCCTCCTGTCCACATTCGTGTGTAGAGCAGCCAGTGTGTGGCAGACCCTGTGCGGGGCCAGCTGCGGCGAGTCGTCCGCCCTCAGTCCTCTCCAGAGGGCTGAGGGTTCTCTAGTCTTTGACACCAGATTAATTCATGAATTATTCCACTCGACACATATTTCTTGAGCACCTACTATGTGCCAGGCATAGGGGAGACAATGTTTTCTGAGACCCCGTCATGGCTTCTAAGGAGCTTGCTGCCTGATTGGGAGACAGACAAGAAAACGGGTATGAAAAGAACACGGGGTGCGCTCTCCCTCCCGGGAGCAGGCCCATGCCTTTCCCTTCCGCCTCTTCTCACCCCCCGCCCCCACGTGTGTCCTTTACCTTCCTCTCTCCTAAGCTCCAACGGCCCTTCTTTTGCTTCTGTAACTTGTTTCCTGAGCCCATTTCTTTTCTTTTTTTTTTTTTATCAGAAAATTTACGCATTAGCCCACTTCTTCTATAGCATACTTCTACCTCTGTGACTTTCTAAATAAACTTTCTCTTACGAAGAAGAACAACAACAACATGGGGTGCTGAGGCCCAGAGGGAGGTCTCCACCCAGCCTGGGAGGTCAGGGCAGGTTTGCAGGAGGAGGGACCATTAAAAAAATTTTTTTTTAGTAAGTTGTGAAACCATAAAAATCCCAGAAGAAACCATAGGCAGCAAAATCTCAGACATCTGTCATAGCAATATGTTTACAGATACATCTCCTAAGGCAAAGGAAACTAAGGAGAAAATAAACAAATGGGACTACACCAAAATGAAAAGCTTCTGCACAGCAAAAGAAACCATCAACAAAATGAAAAGGGAGCCACTGTATGGGAAAACATATTTGGCAATGATACATCTGATGAAGGGTTAATATCCAAAATATATAAGGAATTCATACAACTTAACAAAA